AAATGGGCTACTTGAGAGAGCTAAAAATCCTAATTTACTGAGGGGTGTTGTGGTGGGGAATGGTGATAACACTTTAGAAGTGTCTCATTATTCTTGCTGATGATATGCTTATATTTTGTCAACCAGATTGAAAAATCTATTGTATTTGAGATGTGTTTTATTATGGTTTCAAGCTGTGTCGGGACTTAAAATAAATCTCTTCAAGTCTGAATTAGCGAGAATCGGTGGCAGCAGTGTGGCTGGCTCTTTTGCTACAATTTTGGGGTGTGAGAAGGTAAAATTCCCTTTCAAATATCTTGGGATTACTTTGGTAGCTAAATACAATGATCAACTTACATAGGAACCAATTATTGATTTATTTGAGAAAAGACTTGCGGGGTGGAAGAGAAACTTCCTTTCTAAAAGGGGTAGATATACCTTAGATAAAAACATGCTTGCAAACCTCCCAATATATTATCTTTCTACTCTTACCATTCCAGTGAAGGTGGCTAAAAAGCTGGAAACTATCCAATGCAGATTGTTGTGGGGTGATGTGGGTGATAACCGTAAATACCACCTTGTGAATTGGGGTGTCTTAAAATATCCAATTTTATTTGGGATCTTTGGTGAAAATGAATGAAGCACAAGGCAAACGGTTATGGAGATACTCGAGGGAGGCAAATAGTCTGTGGAGGAGGGTTGTTGAGGCTCGATGGGGCAAATTTATGAACTCCAGTGCTTTTGGCCGGATTTCTCTCCCCCATGGGAGAGGGCTATGGAGGAAGATTCTTATACACAAATCCTGTTTTATGCAAGGCACTAAGTGGAAGCTGGGTAGGGGGAGTAAAATTAATTTCTGGGAAGATAATTGGGTGGGAGGTGGTAGCCTCAAGGGGATATTTTCATGAATCTTCAATATTTCACAATATGGCTGTTTTTTAGGCTTACCATCGGTCAAATGGGAATGTGGTTTGGTCCATTATTGTTAACAGAAATCTAAATGATTGGGAGTTGGAGGAATATGAAGGTATGTTGCAGCTTTTGGCGGAACAGAAACTTTCCTGTGTGGAATCTGGAAAAAAATGGCTTCTTTTCTGTTTCTTCTTCTTATCAGTTCTTGTGCAAAGGGAGAGATGTGTGCAGGATGGTCATTCCGGCTAAACAAATTTGGAAGAGCTTGGTTCCCCTCGTGTGTCTTTCTTTGCTTGGGAGGCTTGCTGGGAGAAGATTTTAACTACTGATAAGCTTAGAAACAAGGGCTGCATTCTAGTGAATAGGTATTATTGCTGTCTGAAGGCGGAGTAAACTTGTAACCACTTATAATTGTGGTGTCCATAGCATTTGGTTTGTGGTCTTTTATTTATGGGTTGCTGGGCATTAATTGGGTTATTGCAGGCTCGGTGGGGGATGAGATATGGGCTTGGGATGGTTTAAATGTAAAAAAATAAGTTAGCTAATATGATCCCATTGACAGTTTTTTGGGTCATATGGAAAGAAACGAATAGTAGAGTGTTTGATAGTGAGATTAGTAGCATGATTAGATTAAAAGATAGGTGGTTGCATTATTTTGGATCTATATTATTAGGGCATGATATTATTGAAGATGTGGATTTTAGGATTGTCATTGATTCTCTAACCTTATTGTAAATTTTTGTATGTAGGCGGTATCCCTATTCTTGGTACCTTACTAATAGACATTTGATACTTTTTATTTCAAAAAAAAAAGTATAAGTATCATTAAATCTTAGCACGAAAAGAGTGCCACCCATGTACAAAATTATTTACAAATCAGCTACTAAATCAATAAAATGCCCAAACTCGTCAAAAGAAAGAATGGGATGCCCCAAATCCAAAAACACATGGGATGCCCCAAATCCAAAAACCCCAACACCTGGAGCCATCTATCGCTAACTCTACCCAGATCATCTTCTTTTCCTTCAAAAGCTCTCTTATTTCTCTCCTTCTACACAACCCAAAATATTGTAAAAGAATGAGTTCTACATGCTTCTTCTTTTGCTAATTTATTTCCAATCGCATAACTCATCCTTGACTGATCCTGCAACTGCCTACCCAAAAAAACCATAGGCCATTGTCTATAATTCATACGTACATGGACACTAGAGCATTATATGATCGCAAGACTCAACCTCCCTTTTTTGGCTACATTGTGGGTTAAGGCCCATGGGCATCATTCTACTATTAGCATCTCTAATCTGCATCAAAATTGGGAAGCTTTAATTTCGAGGAGATAGTTCTTTCTTATGCTTGCTTTTCTTTTACTTTTCTAGCTTGCAAATAATTTCTTATTCTCCTTGACTATATTCTTCTTTGCCTTCTCTATTAATAATACCTTCTTCTATCCAAAAAATAAGAGAAATTTCAAGATTTTGTAGAAATGCATGCACGATCTATGTACACCCTAAAACACAAAGAAGTCTAATCCCGTGTTACAAGATCAATCTATTAAACTATTAACACTTTTTATATGCTACAACAATTCACACCAGCCATAATCTAGCTTAGCCAAACATCAAAATTAGCAGGCTATGGACTTACCAATCCTTGAAGTTCAAGTAGCTTGAGAGCTCATAATAAACATATGCAGCAGCACCATAAGCAGCATCTTTGAGAAGCAATCCAGGAGTGATTTCAGTAACTGAAGTTGGGCAATTACTCATTGACTCTTGAAGGATAGAAACTACAACAGGACCTAGCAGCTAAAGGCAAAAGAAGATAATATATAAGTACACATATCTTTGTAAGTATTAGTAAATTGAAGACAAGTCACACAACTAAACAGTCTCCAAGACTAAAATGCCACCTACTTGGCTGCGATTTTCAAACAATACAATATACAAAGCTTCAGCGCAAGGCCTTAGTTTTTCTGTCCACTGAACCATGTCCTGCTCATGATGAAAAGATTCAGGGCTTTGGTACCACTGCTCCAAATCACTTACAGTTAGAACAAAGTACCTGTTGAGATATCAATAGAAAGTTTTAATCAAATTACTTCCAAAAAAAGAACACCAAACAAGAGAGATAAAACCGTGAAGGTGCTTTTGTAGATGATAAGATATTCTAGACCCACAGGAGGTGAAAATGCATGAATAGTAGCACAAATCAGGAAAGTAAATATTCACTTAACAGTAGCTCTTCAAATCACAATAAACGAATGCCCTTAGAAGGACACACACTAGCCACAAAGTTCTAAAGGCAATCAACAATTTCCTGCCATGCAATGGCTTAGAGAACATAAGCCTAAACAACCTAAAATAGCATCATCAACAGTAGAGAGAGAGAGAGAGAGAGAGAGAGAGAGAAAGTCTTTGTTCCACAGTACACAACCAACTTTCTCTGATCAGTGCTGCTGCTCGTCGGTGAAACTTTCTTGCTCCCTATGTCGTTATCTTCCTCTAGGTGATTCTTGGTTGTCAATAGGAAGTTCTCCAACTTGGTCTTATTTGGAGAAAGGGAGAAATTTGTCAACATAGGCAAAGATGGAAGGGGTTTAGAGTATCAAAAGTTTTATTTAGCATGGAGGCTTGGTGGTTGTTTAGTATGTTGGAGCAATTTTTTGGGAGAATGGGGAACCTTCATGAGTTAGAAGTATGGTAGAAAAAACACAACCCTTGTGGGTAGCGCTTAGTGCAAACATAGGAAGAAGGTATTTGGCAATCACGGGAAGAAGGCAACAGAGACAGAAGAGGATTTATATCCTGGAGAGTATGGCAACAGACAGTTAGCGGAGTTTCACAGAGGCCATAGGAGGGCTACTGGGCAGATCCCTTGCTCCACCATGGAAGACTAGGGCAGAAAAGAAGAAGACAAGCAAAGCTAGGAAAGAAACTATAGAAAAAGATATTCTGGCATCTGCGAACTGGCCTGTCTAGGATGTTACTAGGATGTTATAAGATCCTTAAAATTTCTTTGGAGTTAACGGTCAATGGAAAGAGAGGAAAACCATATGCAGAGGCAGTAAAGGAGATCATATTGAGGCTTGTATGGTAGATCATGTTATACCACCATTCAATAGTAGATAACCATTTTCCCCATGTTTTTGGTTGATCATGAGTCATGCATCTCAGATACATCTTCAAGCATTAATTAAGTCATTCAATCTGACCATCTATTTGAGGAGGGTACGCAGTGCTGAAATGAAGGCTAGTTCCAACTGTTTTCATCAATTCCTTCCAAAAGGAACTTGTGAACAAGGGATCTCGGTCTGATACTATGACCTGCGGCACTCCATGCAACTTATGAACAATCTTCATAGAAAAATGAGCTACCCTGTGAACCAAAAAAGGATGTCGAAAAGGAATAAAGTCCATTGACTTGTCTCTTTATTCTCGGACTTGAGCAGTTATTCAATAGAATCCATCGATATATGAGTCCAAGCCTGGGACGGTACAGGCAATGGTTGTAAGAGTCCTGGGATAGCTACCTTTTCATCTTTACAACGTTGGCAAATATCACATTGTTGCATCCACTGAATAACTTGTTTTTTCATGTCGACCCAATAAAAGTATTGTTTGACTCATTCATAGGTGGTTTTGATCCCCGAATGACCACCTATAGCAGAGTTGTGGCATTGATGAAGGAGCTGATGTTGTAAACTTTCACCATTGCCGACAAATAACCTTCCCTTGTATCGTAAAAGTCCATTAGAAAGGTGGAAAGATGGCCTACCATGCGGAAAAATTAAAAGTTCTATGATAAGTTGTTGTACATCCGAATTACCTTCACAACTTTTGGATACCTCACATACCTAAGCAGAGCCGATAGCAGTAACAGTGTAAACAACTTCTGTAAAAGTATCTTCATGTTCCCTTCTGAATAAGGCATCTGTCACTATATTTGTGGTCCCTTACTTATATTGTGTTAGGTAATTTAACCTCAATAGTTTCAAAATGTCCTTCTGTCGGACTGTAGAGGATACTCTTTGATCCAGTAGTACTTAAGGTTGTGCTGATCTATCTGAACGACGAAAGGAAACCCTTCCACGTAACGCACCATTGTTTGATTGCATACAAGATAGCTGAAAATTCTTTCTCGTATATGGACTTGGATTGGTTTCTAAGATCCAAGGCTTTGCTGATAAAGACTATGAGTTGCATTTCTTGCATTAAAACAGCCCAAACTTCAGAAACCGCAATACGGGACAAGCAGTAATTGCTCTTTTTAGTTGATGGAAGACTTTTTCAACTTCAGGATTCCCCTTGAATGCTCTTTTCTTTAACAAGTCTGCAAGGGGTTAATTAAGAGATAGGTGGTTCCATATTTTTGGATCTATGTTCACGGGGCGTGACATTGTTAGAGATGAGGATTTTGGGTTTGTCATTGATACCTTAACTAGAATGTAAACAATTGTACATGGTCAGTACTCCCTTGTTTGGTGCCTTGTGAATATATACTTCTTTAATTTTTTATTTTAAAAAAAAAAGTCTGTAAGGGGTTAGGCCATCACTTCATATTACTTGATGAATTTTCGATAATACCCCGTTATGCCCAGAAATCCCTAAGAGTCTTAAGAAGTTTGTGGGCTCCGCCAATTGACCCTGACCTCAATTTTCTTTGGGGTCTGTTCAAAC